TATATATATATATTACTAGAAGTGTGGTGACAATGACTAACAAAACTGTCGTTGCTCTCACCAGCAATCATATCGTCCACTCATCAACACTGACATCTTTTTTTAATATCATAATTCATCCTTCATAAATGTTTATAACTCAGCAGGTTCAGGTCAGGTTTAATGATGACAGAGAGGAAAAACGTTGTGGTGATGCCTCACTCTGTTCCTCTGCAGTCTGCTCAGTTTTCTGAGCTCCCAGACGAGGTGCACGTGGAGCCGTTTCTCTATTGATTTGCCAGACTCAGAGTTTGGGTTTACGCTTGGATTTTGCCAAATATAGTCAATGACTGGCAGCAGTTCTCTTCAGCCCTGCTTACAGCCCATTACTCAGTCATGTGATGTTCTGTGTTGGACAAAAACAAGAGTACCATGACCACGACTCATCTCCCTGCACCATTTTTTAGCCTTTCAAAAGGTTTGAATGAAAACGTCTGATTAACGGACGTGTTTAAATATAGATGCACAAAACTGTCAAACTGTAAAAGCAACGCATGCAGACGTCTCTGGTTTGCTGGATTTAATTTAAATGAATGTAATTTTAATTATAAAGAGGGAAAGAAAGCTAATTGGCGGTCAGGTATGAATGAACCCCCTCCCCTCCCACACACACAGTAAAATGCATTAACCTGACAGCAGAGAGGCATTCAGACCTGACCTCCAGCGGCCAGCCCTCTAACCCACAGGCTAATTATAAACCTCATTATGTTCTTTCAGTCCTGTTCCCTCATCACATTAATTCTGCTCTGTGGTCAGACAGGCTGAGGACTGATACAGAGCGGCAAAGAACAGATTAGCCTCTTTGCAGACACATCTGGAACTTCTGCTTCGACAATAAAAAACAAGATTTTCTTCTTTTATTCTTTGGGTTTWTTTTTTTTTTGCTCAAACATTCAAGTTTTAGGTGAAACACTGTTCAGCCTTTTCAGCTGCAAAACTAATTAATGATAACCAATTAATCAGTTGTTTTAACTTATAACAGTCACAGGTGGTCAGAATTGTAAAGTAACTAAGTACAWATACTTTGTTACTGTACTTAAGTAGAAATTTTGGTTATCTGTACTTTACATGAGTAAYTTTTCAGCGTACTTTTTTCTTTTACTCATTACATTTTTACACAATTATCTGTACTTTCTACTCACTACATTTTTTAAAAAGGTAAGAAGTAGAAAGTCGTTACTCCTATTTTATTC